CTCGAAAATGATACCCATATTGCATTTATTTGAAAACTCGTGTCCGCCATCTTGGATTTAGAAATGAGTGCCATATTCGTAATGAGCATCCCCAAATACCTCGAAAAGGATACCCATATAGCATATTTTGAAAAATCGTGTCCGCCATCTTGGATTTACAAATAAGTGCTATATTCGTTTTTCATCGACAAAACCGAGCATATCTGTAGGCACCTGATCGACATTGTCGGGCAAATCTGTAGGCACCTTTAACTTAATGATGAGTTAAGCAAGATACAATTTCCCCACTTTTGAGGGAAATGTTATTCCATGGCATCATTATTTGTATATTTGTGTGCGTGCCGACGAGCGTAGTTACAAGTTGCTTACGCCTACATGAATTTGGTTTTTGCCTCACTTGTGACAGTTCGTTTGATATGAAACTATCCTTCTATGCGTTATTATTCTAAGGGCATATTATTATACAATAAATAAATATAAAATATTATTATCGAAAAAAAAAATTAGTAATTTATAATTCGGCGACATTGAGCGGTTGTTTACGTGTTATATTATAATATATTTTTTACCATGTATTTATTTATTTTTCGGAGATAACAAACAACTGTACAATACATGTTTACATTAAGTGTTGATTAATTCTATGTGCACGTACAATCAACTACATCATCCACAAGTTACTACTAAAATTGTAAAAACGAAATCAGCTCAGGGCTTCAATAATAGCTTTTTTAAATTTAGAAGCAGGCAAACAAAATATGTCAATAATACTAAAGAAATCTTTGTACTGAGAACATCGAATACATGGTTATATACTCGATGACTGAGAAAGAATACGGCACTTGTTCGGCAGCGCGTCGTTTTAAACAGCGGGTAGGAGCGCGTACATTGTACTTAATATTTCACACAGGATCAGGGAGCCAATCGCGCTAATAATTGTCAACGGTAAAACCAAAACTAAACCACATAAGAAACGTTTCTAATGTGACACGATGCGTACACTTCGTATCGCGGTATCAAAAAAAAAACCAAAGCTAAACCAAAAACGAAACATTGCCGTTTTTCAACATTTCTATAGCGCTAATTGTCAAAGGAAAAACGAAAACTCGAACGTTGCCAATTGCTATCGCGCGAAATATTTTAACCACATAAGAAACGTTGGGGGAACGTATTTACCATTGACAGGCCAACGTGTCTGTTGCTACTTTTCACTACATTTATTGTTTATTAAAGATGTTGCACGGCTATTTAAATGTATTGGAAAGTGCTTATGAGGTGGATGTGGCCCAAGAATGGTCTTTCAATCCAATTGTAACAACGTCTAAGGTGTGTTACAGATTGAAGAAGCATTCGTCTATTATGAAGTGTTAGCACTCCAAACTTAGACAGTAAGGTCTCGTATGGTGTAATTTGATGTTGTTGTAATTCCTAGTAAGTTCAAAATTAGAGATATCGGTCAGTATATTTTATTACCGCTATATTTATCGGACAAGTAAGTTTTGTATCATATCTTGAGAAAATCAATTGTAAAATAATGTTCAACCCGTATATGTCTCATTACTGTGCGCAGGTCTCGCAATAATGGAAGTGGCATTTGCCACCCTCAATTACCAGGGAACCAGAGCAATATTTTATAGATAGATTTATGGAACCTTGCATTCCTAAGGGCTTAACTATTATCGTTTATTAAACCTTACCATAGGAATTGCTACCAAAAGACCAGTGTATCCCTTTCCTATTCTTGAACAACTTCTTCACTTTATTCATTTTAATCAAACGAACAATTTAATTCATAAAATAGAAGCGTTAATTGGCACTAGTTCTAAGATTCTAAGAAAGAAAAAGTTCTAAGATTCGCACTTATTGCACTTTTTTGGGAAATACATAACACTTTTTTCCATTAATTGTAACCTTTGAATGGCGAACGTGTCTAATTGGCTAGTTTGAATAAAGAACTAAAATAGATCTAGCTTATTCGCAGATGTCTATGGTGTTGGTACAGTTAATGAAAATAAGAGCGTTAGGATGCACTTCTTGTCTCCAAAATCATCTAGAATTCAGACAGATCGTCCACCAAGGACAAACTTCGCCTTCATTTATATTAGTAGTGATGTACGCAAAACAACACGGCCAACATTTAAGATTTAACCACTTACGATAAAATAGTAAAGTTTAAAGTCCTGCTCCTTATTGGCTGTACTTTGGATAAAAAACCACCACCTCTGAATATTTTTAGAGCTCATGTGTAGCAAAAAAGAGCTAATCGTGCACGATCGAGCTAAACTGCGCATGAGTTATTTCAATTACATAATTTCCTATTTGTCCCTAAGTTACCACATCAGCACACACGAGGGTGGTCAACAAAGATCTGAACGACGCGTCATAACGGAATGCATAAAGCCCTTGCGCATGCGTGTATTAAATCTCCCAAAGTACATAGCGAAATGGCATGTTTACCTATATAGGCTTACCTATTTCTGCCGCCAAGCAGCACTGTCAGCATTACTGTTCCGGTTTCGAAGGGTAAGGGTGCTGGTGAAATTACAGGCACATGGAACCTGTCAACTTACGTATCAGGGTGACAGACGCAGTGGCAGTGCCCCTCAGATCATTTTGATTTAAAGCTCTGAGTGGCTCTGCAACTGTTGTGGACTGGCTTATGGTTTACCATCACGTGCACAACTTCTTCGTCCCGTCACTAAATATTACAAAAAATGTGGTATTGAGAAATGAAAGCAGGACGTCGATAGTTGGCATCTTTATTGAGCCACATGCTCCCACCAGGGCGACTATCAAGCCGTAAGACCTTCCTTCGACACACCGCGGCCATAGGAGGTAGCCCAACGGATGCGAGGCGAAACATTTGGCAAGCGAAACTGGCTGATCCTATATCAACCCGACTCAAAACCAGAACCGAAAAACCTAAACTTGTGCCCACTGTGTCCGACCCGCTGCAA